TAAAATCGTAACAACTACTGAAGCGGTACGCAAAGGGAGGTCATAGAAAAATTTTGTTTACGGATGAGAAATTTTTTACAATTGAGCAACATTTTAACAAACAATATGACCGTATTTATGCTCAAAGCTCTAAGGAAGCTTCCCAATTAGTCGACAGAGTGCAACGTGGGCACTATCCGACTTCAGTGATGGTTTGGTGGGGTATTAGCTATGAAGGAGTGACTGAGCCATACTTTTGTGAAAATGGTATCAAAATATCGGCACAAGTGTATCAAGATACCATTCTTGAGAAGGTAGTGAAGCCCCTTAACAACACCATGTTCAATAGTCAAGAATGGTCCTTCCAGCAAAACTCGGCGCCAGGTCATAAAACTCGGTCTGCGCAGTCTTGGTTGGAAACAAACGTTTCGGACTTAATCAGAGCTGAAGACTGGCCGTCGTCTGGTCCCGATCTTAATCCGCTGGATTATGATTTATGGTCAGTTTTCGAGAATACGGCTTGCTCTAAACGCCATGATAATTTGGAGTCCCTAAAACAATCCGTACGATTGGCAGTGAAAAATTTTCCCATGGAAAGAGTGCGTGCTTCTCTTGATAACTGGCCTCAACGTTTCAAGGACTGTATTGTAGCCAATGGAGACCACTTCGAATAAGCTATACTTATATATTATATATAGCTATACTTTAAATTGTTTTGTATTTATGTATTAAGCTAACACACTGTAAAAGTAATAAATGTTATTTGCAACAGATTTTTTTTTTCCTTTGTCTTAGTATTTATGGCAAGACTAGGTAGATTACTACTGAAGACTGCTTGGCTGTTGCATAGGAGTCTCTTGTGATCTATAGGTGCGCGGGATCTCTTATAGACAATAAAAACTATGGAATCTTTAGATTCTATAACATCTCAATCGTTTTATTGACCATATTTTTTCGTGGTAAGAATTTGTAGGGTTTTCGACTACCATACATAACCGTGCAGGGGTTTAAGAAGTTATTTCCAGTGACGAAATTACACTTTTTTGTTCCTTTATCATGAAATTGTGGATTGTGGACACGATTTCCTATTAAAATGAATAAGACCTACCCCATAATCCGAATCACAGTAAATTCCTAATTACATGCATCCATACACTCCAAAAATACGGTTTGTTAAAATAGATCTTAAAGGTCAATTCTTCAAATCTCATAGAGTTCGTAACTGTCTTTAATAACTAATGAAAATAGTAATTTTTCAAGTTGCTTTGCTTAATATAGCTTTTATGTAAATTTTTCTCGATTATCAAAGAATTATTAATGAAGCATTATCGGGGAAAATACCGGTGTTTAAGAGGAGGACACGTCAACGAAGCCGTAAATATTAATTCTGTTCGGAAGATACTGGCTATTTTATTGTCCTATAAAAGTTCTTTGTACGCCTTCGAACGACCCAATAAAACCTAAGTCAAAATAATTAAATGTAATCTGTTAAGGGACCGACTTTTAGGGTACTTATCTGTAAAATGTAATGCTAAAAATAGTATAAGAAAATCGTTGTTCTTGAGTAGAAATTTACAACATTTCAACTAAAATGTTTTTTTTTTATTGCTTAGATGGGTGGACGAGCTCACAGCTCACCTGGTGTTAAGTGGTTACTGGAGCCCATAGACATCTACTACGTAAATGCGCCACCCACCTTGAGATATAAGTGCTAAGTTCTCAGTATATTACAACGGCTACCCCTCCCTTCAAACCGAAACGCATTATTGCATCACGGCAGAAATAGACAAGGCGGTGGTACCTACCCGCGCGGACTCACAAGAGGTCCTACCACCAGTTTGAACGACTCGCTCGATTTTGTTGTGATAAGCAATTGGAACGTAATGAAGAAGACGTACATGGGTCAATATAAAATTCTGTCAGTCCCGATTTTAATAACTGAATCACATGTTTTTTTTTTCCAAAAAATGGCAACACCGCGTACTATAGCGGCATTTTAACTATCGAGGCCTTAGACATTTTGAATGAAGAATTTCATCAAACGTTTGATAGGATTAAACAAAGTCTAAACTAATATCGGTTTATATCTTAGAAACTATATCTTTTGAAGGATTATTGGTAATTTTAATATACCATCAATCAATTTCCTTGTAGTTAGTTAATGATTACAAGTCAATATGAATTCGATACCACAACATTCCTTTGATCTTTCAATTCTCATCCATTAATATCTCAAGATAAACGTAAACCAAATTACTTTCATCAAATTTTAATGACAATAGCAGAACGGATATGACGAAAATCTACGAAAAACATTGTTATTAAATAATTTAGTTGCCAAAACTAAATTATTTAAGGAATAAATCATTGAATCCACCTTAGTTTATGGGTGCTTAACTCACCCGTATCTCGTTGTTCCAGTATATTTAATTTCAATATCTTGCAATTTTTTTTTCTACCTAAGCTGATAACCTTGAGAGGCTATTTCAGCGTAAGTTTACTAGTAGTCAGCTCACGGGGCTCAAACCGGAGTGATGCTAACACTGACCCTAGCATGAGCAGTGCTTCGCAGAATCTACCACCGGATCGGAAACGCGACCCACTGAGAAGATCTGGCGAGAAAATCAGTGGGCTGTGTCTATGGGTTAATTCACTCGTCGAGCCCTTCGTCGCAAGCGACGGGTTCGACGAGAACGGTGACCGGTCCTTGTGGTGCCTAAAAGTACCGTTAATGGATCAGGAGGATCCGTAATGACGTGTTTTGGGCGACGTCGACTGTTTACCATTCGGTCTACAGGATCGGGTATGTAGTTTCCAGCGGCCACGACAAGAGGGTCCTCATGTCGTGCCGCCTTTTCAAAGTGGCGCAATGATGCCGACTGTAGATACTTACTGACCGAGTCAAGTTCCAGGTCATCATGGAGATCCACGTTCCACGTGCTCCGACGGCTATCCTGCAAAATCGGGATTGAATAACCTAAAGGGGTTTCAAGTTAGTGCGGACCGCGTAAGCAAACACTACGCTTTCATACGTCATGACGGGGCGTATGCAAGTTTTGTAGAGTTACTTTAGAGTTACCTTATTAAGGAGGGACAGTTTGCTTCGCTTGCAAAGCATAGGGTAGAGAGTCCTAATAAGAAGGCGGCACGGTCGCGTACCGTTTTAATATGGGGACGAAATCTCATCCCTCTGTCGAGAGTGACGCCTAGGTATTTGACCTTCGAGGCCCACGGTATGAGCTGGCCAAAGAGAGTGATGGGGCTAACGGCGGAGGTGTAAGCGCGCCTATTAGGGAGTGAGATGCTCGAAGTGGTATTCGGAAGGTGACCCCTTTTGAAGAGCACCGCTGTGCTTTTCGTGGGGTTGATGTCAATGCGATCTTGCAATTATCGACCGTTGACTGTACTAGATTTTGTTAACCTCACTGACATTCCTGAGAATGGGATGAAGAGGTAGAAGAAGTTTTTTTTTTTGACGGGCTCACAGCCCACCTGGTGTTAAGTGGTTACTGGAGCCCATAGATATTTACAACGTAAATACGCCACCCACCTTGAGATATAAGTTGTAAGGTCTCAATATAGTTACATAAAGCTAAAACATATTCGAAAAATTCTACTGGTAGGACCACCCTGCCCATTTCTGCCATGAAGCAGTAATGCGTTTCGGTTTGATGGGTAGAACAGCCGTTTTATATAAAACTGAATCTTATCTACCTTATCTACTCATGTCTCAAGATGGGTGGTGGCATTTACGTTGTTAGGTTCCGGTAACCATTTACCACCAGATGGTATGTGAGCTCGTTCACCTATCAAAGCAAAGAAAAGATCTTTGTCGTAAGAATATGTGTCTGAATATGTACTTTTTTTGTCTATCCATGTCACTGTATCGCGCATCGAGCCCAGGGCCGCAATAAGGGTCTCGCTCGAATACCTAAAAGTTTCAAGTCCCCCTCTGTTGCCAATTTGAGGACCGATAAGGGAAACTATAGAAGACGGCGTATAAACTGGTCTAGACGCATCTGGTGGTGGCGTCTAAACGGCGGGCGTCAGGGACCCGTCGACCGAGAGGCCCGAGGATCGTGGCACTAAGGCCTCATTCGCACGGGAGTTTTTTTAGCGCGCGTTAAAAAAGCGTTCAAATAGAACAGATGCATTTCCTAATATACGTTCATACTTTAGCGCTTTTAAAACGCGACGCTTTTTTATTGCGCAGTGTTTCATTTTGAGCGCTACGCATTGGGCGTCACAGATTACGTCACATCGAGAAGGTTATAAAAGCGCCAAGGCCGAGTTTTAACGCAACGATTTTAAAACGCCCGTGCGAATGAGGGCTAAATGTTATGACGCCCATGACCCATTGTTCAGTATACTTATGGTTCAGTATGGTTCTGGGTATATATATAGATGGTGAAGAACATGTGCTGCCAGCAAAGTGGATCACATTGCTCCTCGTCTACCTTGGTTAAGTTCAATGTCACATGAGGTTCGAACACGGGTTAGTGGCCTACAGGAGCTTAAGTCAGCTCAGTTCGGTAACACCGAGACAAATTTAATTTTATGTGTTCTTTTTATAGCATAATAATCAAATTTATGAGAAAAATAAAAATAAAGTGAAATGTTAAAACTATTTATTAAATTAAAAGTACATTTATTTTCGATTTGCTTACGACATAAAATAACAGCACTAAAACCGTTGCAACGTTCTTACAGTACATTCAAAATTTCTGGTCTTAATATCAGTATTTATGAAACAGCTACACAAAAAAAATAGATATATCACATAATTTGAGAGATTGTTCGTTTGATTGTTGCGTGAGAATTCAGATCTCAAACACCGGTCACCGTCCTCGCCGAACCCGTCGCGGCGTCGCTTGCGACGAAGGGCTCGACGAGCAAATAAGCCTATAAACAGAGTTCACTGAGTTTCGCGCCGGATTTTCTCAGTGGGTCGCAATACCGATCCGGTGGTAGATTCTGCGGGGCACTGCTCTTGCTAGGACCAGTGTTAGCAATACTCCCGGCTTGAGCCCCGTGAGCTACACGTCAAGAAGGAGCTGAAATAGCCTCTCAGGGCTATTAGCATAGGTAGGACAAAAATAAGAAAGTTCAGTTGAAGTGTGTGCGCACGGAGAGGGCCCGTATAGGCGGCACGGGAGTCGTGAAGCCGCCGGCGACGCCACGTCTAACAGACGCACAGGAGGAACACGTCGGAGCCCGCTGCAGACGACTCACACAGCTGCTCGACGTGCCACGTCTCACAATGCCGTTCACACCCACCATCTCTGTATATCATTTAGATTTCATATTAAAAACATTTATAACTACATATCGACGCTTAAAAGGCAAACGTGAATAAGCGACAATAACTGATTTGTACATAAATGATAGGCAATAACCATATTTGATGCGCAAAAAATGTATTTCTAGGTCTATTAAAATCATTTCAATCCTACAGCTACTAGTTAGATTCTACTACAGCTAGATTCGTTAAAATAAATTTTGTTTTCAGGTATTTGAACTTTAAATTAGTCTACTGTTAAGTTCACGCATTGTCGCTTAGTCACGTTTGCCTTTCAAGCGTCGATATTATAAGTAACGGTAGACATAACTATACTGAGCTGAGTAGAGTAGAGAGAGTAGAGAGTAACTATACTCAGACCTTAGAACTCATACCTCAAGGTGGGTGGCGCATTTACGTTGTAAATGTCTATGGGCTCCAATAACCACTTAACACCAGATGGGCTGTGAGCTCGTCCACCCATTTAAGCAATAACAAATGAATAAAAATAAGACGAATTACTTCGACCGATCTTGGATAAATCATATTGTACTCAACTTGTACTAATTTTGTACTCAAATGAACCACCTAAATATATTAGGTGGATGTCTGAATTGTATTCTATAGAACGGTTGGATTATTTGGAACGGATGGCTTAATGAATTTAAATTTTTATGATCGTCATATCATTGTAGTGTATTTTCATACTTAATATCACATATAATCTATAAAAATATTTTTTTTTCTAAGAATTTTAAAGAGAATCTGATTACGGAATACTTGAATGGCGGGTTTTAATTAAAATCTATTTAATTTATTTGGGAAACAAACAAGAATGCCTCCTTATCATGTGTTAAGCGTAGGTACAACACGTGAGCAGATTTTGGAAATTACATAAAAAAAACGATACCTTAATAAGTCAAGGCGCATATTATTTCCGAGATGCCTATTTAAATTAGGAAATTGGAATTTCGCACTAGCGCAATTGCTTGAAAAGAATGATCAATCCGGCATGTTGTCTACGATTTGCGAGTCTGCTACAGTTAGTACAAGAAACTAAAAAAACAGATTTTTTGATGGCAAGCCAAACTAAAAATTGTATTTTTCTATGATGAAGAATAAATTGAAGTTGAAAAAAAAACAAGTTTATCATTTTGTAATTGGTCAAATTTTGGTTGAATTATTCTGTTTTATGATAGATAGTAGATGTGAATTTTTGTAACTGCGCATTAATAATTGTGGAATTATTCGGAAAAGATAAGATTTCTTCGTAACTGTGAAAAACAAAATAGGGTTCCGACTTGAAAACAATTATTAAATTTAACTCTGTTAACACAGTGTCTAATTATTTTCAAATAAATAGACCGGAACAGATTGCTCATTAACTAAAATTACATACGAAATTAAACTACAAGCTGAAATAAACCTCTATTTATCTTTGATGTTCGTGTTGCAAAGGGCTTTCCCTAAGTAAAACAATTATGGTATCGTTTTACTACATACGGGTGTAGACCTTAGCCAGCTTCAGCTATACTACTACATATTACTGCTACTTCTATTGCCTTAACATATGTCCGTAGTCCGTGTTGACTAATGTCAACAGTGAAAATAAGTTTTAGGAAGAGCCGTACGGGATATGCGCGTAGAGATGATGTGAGTTCATATCGGATGGTAACACTATCCTGCCTATTGTATCAGAGATAATATAGTACATTGTGCACCAAGGGAGAAAAGTTGGACATTTCCTCCCGCGTGTAAAATTGGCAAACACGCGGGATGAGATGTTCTACTTTTTTTCCGCGGTGCACATACTATTTTTTCTCCTACCAGGCTGAAAGTTCGACATTGTAAAAAACTTAGCACCCGTGGAGTACCGAGCCGGGGTTCAGAGGTGAAGCCCCGGTGGGGTCCAGGGGCGAAGCCCTGACCGGGGTAGAGGGGGCGGAGCCCCCCCACTCATAAAAAAAAAATTAACTGTTTTTTAATTTTTAAATAATCTACTACTAATTGAATAAAAACTGTCTGATGAACTCATCTTTGTTTAATACTTCACTATTAAATTCACTTTACACTAAGCACAATATTGCAAAAGACATATTGAAAAAGACATTTCCTGTCCGAACCACTGCTGAGACTTCGATCTGAGCGCGCTCTCAAGCGGGGCAACGGCATTCAAATTTTGGGTTGTAGAAACCGTTTATTATCAAATGGAGCATGTGTCGAACTCGCGGGCAACTTCGTCGGCACATTTAACGAACGGTGCGGTCTGAGGACAAACTAGTTATTAAACCGTTTCATCTATATGTTCCGTAGAAGATGAGATTGAAATTATGCAGATTTTGTCTTATTTCTAGGCAGTACCCATTATCACAGCAAGTGTAATATTGGGTGCTGCGACGATGAGCACTGGATTTTCTAGTGAAAATCTACCGAGAGGTGAAATGCTATTTAGTTTAAGCGAAATTGTTGCAACATTACAGGAGAGCCATTTGATGTCTGAAATTTGGAAAAATATAACATGAAAAAACTTGGCAAAATTAATTGAAGTTCAATTAAAAACATCGAACTGTTGATGCTAATACCAAATAAAACGCACCTTTAATTACAAAGATAAATTTCGCGTATTAAGCGAAAAACTTAAAACAAACAGCCTTTCATTTCTCGATATGATAATTATATCTTCCTTTAAACGAGAGAAGTTCCTAACCATCAAACATATTCCAATAAGAAATACGCGTTTAAACCGGACAAGTACTTTCCATAATGTCTATTACTGGCGAAAACCAAGAATATATTCATTCTATTACCAAGTAAAAAAGCCATTGATCAAACTAACACTGAACAGTCTAGTTGAACAATTCACGAGCCGTTGATTGATTGAAGGCGTCCTTATGTTCGTTTTACACATTTCACTGTACGTTTGTAATGAAATTTGAAAAAAATATTGATACACACCAACCGCGATTAAACTTCAAAAGAAATCGTTCTTACATTATTTTAAAAAGATCATGTTAAGCGTAGGGCTGCGATACATCCTAAATTCTTCGTTTCAACGCCGCTTAAATAACATTTGATTGATGTTATATTTTAGAGAAACGCATTAAATATCATCAAAGGTCAGCGTTATTTACGTCTTGCGTAAATAAACATTTTAAGTTATCGTCGGCTCAATAACGGAAAAAAAACGCCCGGTGTACTAGCATGAAACGAAACAAATGTCCTGAGGCTCCCATAGATAAGTACAAACTTTCTAAATTAATATTATCAATTTCGACAAGGAAGAAAATGGCTTGGAAAATGGAAAAATGGCTGTGTGGTATCCGATCTCGCGTGTTAGAGCTTCAGTGCCAACTGATATTAAGTGGTTTCTGAAGCCCAAAGATATCACACCGTTAACGCCATCAACCACTTTGCAAACATAATGTCAAATACCCAATTTAGTTATAAAGCAGTTGTTTGTTTACGCGGCAGAATAGGCAAAGCGGTGGTACCGACCTATACAGGCTCACTATACATAAATAATAAAATATAACAGTTTATTTTTACAATAGATCCGATACTTGGTTTGTTAGCATATTAATATATAAAAATGTGTGCGTGTACTAGTGTACACACGTAAGAAGTGAAACTTGTTTATGGCCTTATTTTTCGAAAAATGATCTACATGCAACTTTCTAGAAATTGGTTAAATAAAGTTAAATTAGATAAAGTTTAAACAAAAGGATTTTATTATCATAGACATGAATACAAATAATACAATTATTTCACTTTACCTTTTTGCTACTAAGATTATTACAGCATTTCATTAATTGTAATAGAATTATTACTATCATTGTCATTGTCATTATATATTTTTGTAATTAATGGCTTATGGTAACTGAAATATGAAATATATGGTTTACATTCCACGAAATTTAGTGACCGAGTAAAAACTCCATCAATTGTAGTGCCAGATCTTGTTGTTGACGTTTGAGGACTGTTTTTCATGGATAAATTCAATTTATCTTTCAGAAATTCAACTAGCTTCAAAGAATTTTCCGATGCAAAATTTACATTAAAATCTCCACTTAAAATCATCGGTATTTTATAATTATTGTTACCGAGTAAAGAGGCACCTTCACTTGTGTACGGCAACAATGAATGGTGAAGAAAAAGATGGCGCGTAACGGAAAAATGTGACGCGTAACCGAAAAATGTGACGGTAAATTTTTTTCCAACGCCGATAAAGAAGTTTCACTTCAATAAATTAAATAAATAAATTAAAATAATGTAGAATATTACCAATGTCCTAAGGGAATGCTTAAGTTGCTTTTAAAACTTGAATGAGAAGCTCATTAACGTAATTTAACAATAAGCTTTTATGTGTAAATAGCTGTGCATCCGAAGCTTAAGAGCCGTTTTACATTTTATTCTGATTTTTTATCGACTCAGATTGTTTGCTTATATTTTCGACTTTTACGTACCTATTAACATTAACGATCTTTCCATATTACTGTCACCATTCTTAAACCTTCACACTTGGCTTTTTGTATATTGAGCTCTAACCTGTTGTACCCATAAGTCAGTAACATCGTTCATACATTAATAACAGGTATATACAGTATTTAGGGACAATTTACAATCAAGCAATAAAAAAAAAAAAAAAAAAACGTATTTAAATTAAGAACTTATTGTACGGAATAGTGGGGAAATTTGAATAGACGATCAGTAATTGTTTGGCCTCTCGCCAACATTAAATTTATTGAAATCACAGTTCGAGCGTTTCAGAGGATTAGAATGTATCTACAAAGTTCTTAATTGGATCTAGGCGTTCAAGCAATTCAGCCGTAATACTTACTGGTATCAAACCAGTCATCCGTGAGCAATTCGTAAAGGTGATAATAGTGGAAAATTACGTAGCTCCAACAATTTATTTCTATATAATAAAACCGGTTAAATTAGTTCTTGAATCTAGATTTTATATCAATTTCCTATTTCGTTAAACCATTTGTTGGTGATTCCGTCAGCTCTCCGGATCTGGTTTTATTTCGTCTTAATAATGTATTGTGATTTTTCAGACAGAATTTATTTCTATAATCAACTCGTAACTGATTTTCCAAATTACGAGATTAATATCAATACGTCCTCAGTGAGTTAATGATGGAAATGATTCAAAATCGGAGTTTTTCCTGCCGCTCAAATTTTTGATTATGGATGTCTCACGTGACATCTATGTATATAAAAATGAATTGCTGTTCGTTAGTCTCGCTAAAACTCGAGAAAGGCTGGACCGATTTGTCTAATTTTTGTCTTGAATTATTCGTGAAGACCAGAGAAGGTTTAAAAAATTAGAAAATGCTCGGAATTATATAAAAAACAATTTTTAAGTACAAAAAGTAATTTTTTATACAAAAGTTTAGGGCTTTTATTTATTGACTGAGGCACTACGAAGTCTGCCGGGTCAGCTAGTTTAAAATAAAGCTATGTAGCAAATGTACCTAATTGTACAAGTCAAAAGAGAAAAAAAGTAAATTCTATTTTTTTTCTCCTACCTATTCGCTGGTAGCCTAAGGGGCTATTCCAGCTACGCCCGGACGGGTAGGTAAGCTCACGGGCTCAACCTGAGAGAATTTGCTAACACTAGCCCTAGAAAGAGCAATGCTTCGCAGAGTCTACCACCGGATCGGAATCGCGACCTATTAAGAGGATCCGGCGAGAAACTCAGCGGCTCTGTCTGTAGGTTAGTTCACTCGTCAAACGTCTACGTCGCGATCGACGAGTTCGACGAAGACTTTGACCGGTGTTAAAGCACCGAGATTTTATGCGAGGGATCCGACAAGACATGTTTCGGGAGACGGCGGCATTGCGTTGCCCCGTCGTGGTCGAATAAGGTTCGCGGTCAGATAAGTAAATTTTCCTAAAATATTAGGGTCGTCTCTTCTATTTCCGAGAGATTCGGTATGTCTGAAATACGACAATTCTGGAAATGGTTTTGTAATGGGTGGAAAACGAGTAACAAATGATGTAAGTAAGGTAAGTAATAAAACAAATATAACAAACTTTGTAATGTAACGATACATAACACAGCAGCCCTGCTAAAACGTACAAATTTGTTAAACAATTCCTAATTCTGGTCCGGTCACCGTCCTCGTCGAACCCGTCGCTTGCGACGAAGGGCTCGACGAGCGAACTAACCCATAGACACAGCCCACTGAGTTTCTCGCCGGATCTTCTCAGTGGATCGCGTTTCCGATCCGGTGGTAGATTCTGCGAAGCACTGCTCTTGCTAGGGTCAGTTTTAGCAACTCCCCGGTTTGAGCCCCGTGAGCTCACCTACAAACGTTAAGGTGAAGCTGAAATAGCCTCTTAAGGCTATCAGCATAGGTAGGAATAAAAATGATTCTGGTTGTATTTTCATTTCGACTTCCACGAACAGCATAAGATTAATATTGCGAAAATCCAATAATTGATATTAGGAGATAAATTTCAATGTTTTCATTTCATTACCTCCGCGACCTTGTTATGACTATTCTAATTTCTGCTCTTTCGGAATCATTTAGATCTTTCGCCGCGTTTGTTATGATTACAATATGATGATTATAATATAAAACACAAATACTTCTTTAAATCGTTTATCTGTAAAATTCGTATTATAAAATTATCAATAAAAAAACGTACTTAGAGTTATATGATACTTGGATTAATGGATATTACAATATTTCAGGTGGAAGTAATAACTATATTGTGTAACAACTGTCTCGTCGGAACCGGAAACTAAGCTTGCATCGCGACAGAAATAGACAAGCTTTGCAGGCAGCGGCTTGGCTCTGCCCCTGGCATTGCTGAAGTCCATGGGCGACGGTAACCACTCACCATCAGGTGGGCCGTGTGCTCGTCTGCCTACAAGGGCAATAAAAAAAAGACATATTGTTGTTTTCTTTTATTGTAGGATATTATAAACTACTTACATTTTGGATAAAATGCAAATCGAGATGTATTTAAACATATTCTCACCTGACATTTGCATTCCTTCACAGATGCTGGAATGATGACAGCGTGGAGATGTTGTTTCAAACCGAACGCGGAAGAACCATCCTAAGGCCTTTAAAAAGAAGAAGACTGTGAATTATTATTTTTTTGGCTAAAAGCGGAACAGGAATTAACCATCTGTTTTTTTGACGTAAATGGACCAATATTGTTTTGATGCTAACGTTGAAAGCTACTACTAACCCAGCGGTAGATTGAGTATCTTCAGTATCGCGTTTTGATTTTAGTTTCAGGGCGACCATCATGGGTTTCAAGGTTTTAAATCAAAATTTCCATATCGGATTCTATACCAATTTCCATAACTTCAAACCAATAACGAGTCGTGCTTTCGTTTATAGTGTTCACTCCGTATACGTCATCAATTTTGTGGTGAGCCGTGTGTACGGGATTGCTACCGCGACGGAACTCACATTCCATAATTACTCGTATTTTGATCGTGTCCATATTGATGAAAAAGGTACAAGTGTAGTGAAAATAAAGCATATAACAAATAACACAATTTGAAAATAGAATTCCATACTTTTAAAATAAATTTCAATTTAGCATCCAAACAAAATACCAGCCATATATTTTTTTTAAATGGCCAGTATTTTAAAATTCCATTATCATAGGACCTATGAAGTTGCTTTTATGGCGCACCTGGGCTACGAATAAAATTGTTCAATCAGACAAAACCGTTGATAAACGTTGATATAGAGGCTAAATGGGGTAGTATAAAACAAAAGTAGCAAGCAGCCTGTGCTTCTGCCCTATTATTGAGTTGATCATATTCAATCTGGGAACATAAATATAGCCGAACGTAATAATAATCTGAATTATTTAGATGTTGTTTGTACCTGTTTGAAGCCGCGTCGATACCTCGTGTTCATGTAGCAATATATGATGGGGTTGTAGCAGGAATGTGACATCGCCAGCCAGTGGCTCGCGAACCAAACATAGGGCATACCTGGCCATGCAGCCCACTCTTCATCTCCTTCATGTAGCGTCCATAACACCTTAATAAATAATCTTTCATTAGGTACTCTGTGATGCAGTAGTTGAATAATCTTTCGTTAGGTAATGACAGACTCGGTGGTTCAGTATTTAGCGCCCCTGACTGTTGCGCCGAGGGTCGTGTGTTCGATTCCCACATCGGGCACATTCAAGTGTGATCAACAGGTTTTGATAAATTTTCCACATTTGCAACACTTTTTTTTTTATGATTGAAGGATTACTGGTTGCCCGGAGGCCTTTCCAGTTTCACTAGGACAGGTGGGCGAGCAAAGGCTCAGCCAGGAGGGGTGGGATTTGCTAACAGCTACCCGAGCGCTTCCGAAGGAGACCTAACAGCTCAAAAGTATCTGCTTCGCGAATGAATCTACTACCGGATCGGAATCGCGACCCGCTGAGAAGATCCGGCGAGAAACTCAGCGAGCTGATTCATGGGTTAGGTTGCACGGCGAACTCTTTGTCGAGTTCGACGAGTACGGCTACCGAGGTCCCTAAGCCTGCTCCTAGTGTTAGAGCTGAAGGCGTCTAATGCAAAGGTTATTGGATCTGATGGATCCGTAAGGACGTGTCTAGGGCGTCGACGGTGACTGGCTCCTGCGTGATCAGGATTCGGGGAGTAGTCAGCGGCGGCAACGATAAGGCGATTATCATGACGCATAGCCTTATCAAAGTACCGTTCCGACGCTGACTTCNATCCGTAAGGACGTGTCTAGGGCGTCGACGGTGACTGGCTCCTGCGTGATCAGGATTCGGGGAGTAGTCAGCGGCGGCAACGATAAGGCGATTATCATGACGCATAGCCTTATCGAAGTACCGTTCCGACGCTGACTTCATGTATTTCTGGATAGATTCGAGGCCCAGGTCGTCGTGTAGGTCAACGTTCCTCACGAACCATGGAGCTCCGACGGCTAACCTGCAAAAGCGGGATTGTAAAGATTGGAGGGTGTCTATGTGCGTGCGGGCCGCGTGAGCGAACACCACACTCGCGTAAGTCATGACGGGACTGCGACGACTATCAGCACTAGGAATTGCTTAACATCCGATGAGTAACCTCATCAGCTTTATCTATATAATGAATAAATAAAATATACCATTCATAATGCGTTTTACACGAAAAAGTTTTCTCCAATTTCCTTAACAAAAAAAAAAAACAAAAGATATGTCATTTGTGTCAAATTTGTTCATGACAGCAGTGAATCAAGTCTAAAATGAAAGTGTTAAAATTGAATCTCTTAATTCTATTGATTCACGTTTGTTGTGGCCATAAAGATGTGCTACCAACGTTTTTATTGGATCATAGCAATGTTTTAAAAGATATTGATATACCACCAAATCCCTTCAGCACTATGAGCTCTGCAAAGTTTGCTGACATAATACGGGAAACAATCAAACGTACTGAAGGTATAATAATTTTCGTTGAAGAACTCTTGAGTTTTGAGGAAATCACCGCAAAAGATAAATTGGGAACTCCGTTTACTCATTTACACAGAGGTTTGATTGAAAGAAAAGTCAAATTCTTTCCAGCTGTTTTTGAGCCGTATAAAGTACTCGCTCAAATCTTTCATTCCCTGCATTACAATACTTTTCATTTAGATTCTGCGTATAATTTATCACTCAAGAGCGCCAGCTATATCTACGTATTTTTTAACAACTACGAAAACGAAACTAGGACTATGGCTCTCAGGAGACACGATACCATCATAAGAGATGTTTACATGAACATGCAAGAGTTACAACGAGGGCCTATTGTAGCATTCTACACCGGCAAAATCAATCCGGCCGTTATAGAGAAACCGCGCTTCATATCGATAGAGCCAATGCCTTCAGTCAATAATTTGGATGTTACGGTTGTTTCTGAAGGCGCAATGTTCCGATTTTCCGGAGTGACTGTTGCGACTCCAACACGTCGAGCTACTTTTAACCAAATGCCCGTTGTAGCCGAGGAAACGTGGAGCCGAAATAAATTATCAACGAAAGTGGCATATACCGACTTTGAATTATTATTTAATTTCGATTTGACGCGACAAGACGAGTGGGTACTTGAAAATATAGCTCTTTTAGAAGCAGGTGAAGAAGTCGGTCGGACTAACGTTTTTGCCAAAGCTCCGTGGAACTGGTCTTATGCTTGTGGTGAACCTTTGCAGATAGTAAACACACGTGACGGCAGCTCCATAGCTATACCGCGTTATCGAATTCAGCCTCTTGGACCATCCATAATTCTTCGAAATGGATCTAGTAGCAATGTAACTTTTGGACCGACAGTGAACTGCTGCCCTTACTTCAGTGTCCCAATATTATCGTGCCTTGCTATTTCTTTGTTGTGCTTAATGTTTCTTGCGCAAGGCATTACAGTTTTATTTAACTGCGCATCAAATAGTAAATTTGATGACCCTCATAATCCACCATTAGTGTACGAAACTCAGTAATTATAGTACACCAATAACCCATGATATTCTAATACATTATAATGTAATTGGTTGTAATTTAAGATTGGACATTTTATGTGGTGAAAACATTTTATTTGTTATAATTAAGTCAATGAACCGAAAATAGTTCTGTGCTATCTATTAGTGAAAATTAAATGCTTCATCAAAATGAGATTATTTGTCTTTGTTAACGCTATTTTTACAATATCATTTTAAGAACGACTTAATTGATTATGTAAAAAGACATCAATTAAAACATATTTTAGCTGCTAATTTGTGCTTTTAACTGAAAACGATTATGTCCATTGACGTCAGTTGACAACGTGACATCCTTTTCTGGCACAAGTCAATATTGGTCAGATATGAGATGGGGGTAATAAAACCGGCCGAGAGGACTATTTAACGAACATCAATCAACTGAAACATCGGGATTATTGTTTTTGACAGTTAATACTTGCAATAAAAATGTTCAGTGGGAGCCAGCAAACCGTGAATACTGCTACAACAATCACCATCATTTTGATCATCTGAAAACCAGAAAAATGTTGATATTGAAATAAAAAAAAACTTTAGTATTACCTGCTATTTCTATGTTTATTTTTTATTTTTATTGCCCATGTAGGCAGACGAGCACACGGCCCACCTGATGGTGAGTGGTTACCGTCGCCCATGGACTTCAGCAATGCCAGGGGCAGAGCCAAGCCGCTGCCTATGTGCTATATGACTCGAACACCAAAAGCTCCAATTAAAGTATAGATAGGGCTTTACAGCGCCTTAATTTGCATGACACGGCCACGTGATTGCATTAAAACATGCACATGTCATTAGCATCGGCTTGCGCAGGTTTCCGTACTTTGAAAATCTTCTGATTTACAAAGTGCTTAATTTCAAATTGTGTTATATAGATTAAATCGATTTGATTATTGAGATTGATATTGAGATTAAAAGTTATATAGATTAAATCGATTTGATTATTGAGATTGATTACTGAGATAACAAATTGTCGTAGTAATATTTTAAAATAAATTACATCACCTTTTCGCATTAAAAGTGTACAATTTCCAAAAATATTCGAAATTGAGTTAATGTGCGTAAACATTTCGTATCACCAGTATTTTTCTCATAAATACTGTCAAAAGAGCTTAGTTTAGTTTTCATTTTTTTTTAGTTTACCTATGTTTTGACCACTATTAACAAAATTAATACATAATTTTATCTTACTTTAAAAGACAGATAATGTAACTGATAAAAAAAAGTACGTGCGTACAAAGTACACATGTCAGAAGTGAAACTTTTTTGGCGAACTAATTTATAAGTCTTGCTTATATTTAGACTTATATTAAGTCAAGGGAAAAAGGAAGATATGTTCCCGCCAAAAGTCTGTCAAATGTCAATCTTTTTTTTAAGCTATTTTATGACCTGGTAACTAAGACCTTTAAGTCATGTCTTATTTTAATTTATATTCTTATTTTTATGAAAAATGATAATATGGAGTGAAATAAAATGAAATGAAGATGATTAATTTGAGACATTTATCAAATGGGATTAAATTAAATTAAATGAGATGACATGGGATGAAATAGAATCTCAGTAAAATGGTGGTTATTTGCTGAGATTTTTTCAGTGGACTTTTTGGAGGATCCCGAGGAGTTACGTCCAGCAGCTTTGTTTCATTTTCCCACATTAATGCACTTTCACATATATTAAACAGTTAATAAGCCACCGTTATTACACATTTAAACCTGAAGAAACACTAAATAGACAAAATACAGAAAACACAACTTCACTACTCGCGTTCCCGCCAAAAAGCCAAATGTCAATCTCAAACCTCAGTGTTGACAGTCACATTATGTTTAGATTTCTAAATTGTAAATGACTAATATTTTGCCAATTGAATTGACTAATTTAATTTCATGCTATTTGATTAATTTTCCAAATTCTCTTCATTTCATTTCAATTCCTATTAACATTTTTCACAAAAAAAAAAAAAAAAAATTAGGCTGTATGGTATGATACATTTGCCTTTCCAGTTGGAAAAATACAACAACTACTACTACTACTACTGACATTTGACAAGTACTTAATTTCAATAGTAGTTTGATGTCACTTGCGTTGCATACCTGCGTGACGTTCTGTAAAAATTTTACCCTCATGCGCCTAAAGAAGTTTCACTTCAATAAAAAATAAATGTTGCAAATATGATTAATATTAAAAATATTACACGTTAAACCTTTAAAACACTCTCCTATAAAATTAGTAAGTTTTGAGATTATACAGTTTGAATGCGAGAAGACGATATGTCTTTATACATTGTGAGGATCCTACCTTTCTTTTTGATCGTTGCATCCTGGAATCTCTTGTACTTTCGGCTTCACCGGGTGGTCGTCCGCCCCAGACTACGTGGGCAATGCGAGCATATGTACACACAAGAGCGCTAAGTGGCAATACAAACTGAAGCACCAACAGCGCACAGGTGTAACGCTCACTCTGTTCCACGTGGTCCCATTCTTCGTGGCAAATATCTCTGCAAACACCATATTTGTTATATTCGAGAATCTTCGTATTAATATTTGTATAATATAGCTTTCACGTTTGCTTTACTCACAGTTGACAGTATTTATGCCACTCTGCAGGTCTCTCCAATTTTGATACTACGTATATAGGGGTGGCGGTCGCAATAGCACCTCCCCACACGCCAGCGACAACCATTTTTGCTGCGGTTTTACCCATCCTAGGTTTCAATGGGCGCATTATTGCCATGTATCGGTCAATCGATATAGCTAGTAAAGTGTATGCGCTCACGAGCACTGAAACCGCTTGTGAGAAGTTGACAACTTTGCACATAATACCACCAAAGGGCCAATACCGCAGCACAAGCATTGATACGAAAGAAAACGGCACACAGAACAACGTCATCAGGATATCGCCCACTGCCAGGTTTACTATGAAATAATTTGTGACCGTTTTCATCCGAGGCGATGTTTGTACAACGAAGCAGACTAGTCCGTTTCCAACGAGTGCCACGACAAAAACGATGCAGTACATGAAATAAACGCATGTTTGGAATGTCGCAGAAGTAAAGAAGCTCTCTGAGGATGTACTCGGATTGCATATAGCGTCGTAATCTAGTTTCGTTAAGTTGGACGAGGCTGTAGCATTTATATAGTATTCACTGGATGTGACGTTGCGTATAAGGAAGTCTGACAGCGTACTAGAATCAAAGTCTATCGATTCCGACTCGTACATGTCCAACATAATTAATAGTATTTCGTCATTTCTTACATCCTTAGAACATGTAACTTCAGTGTTGCTCTTTATTTATGAGATTTAATCTGAAACAAAACAAAACTTTAATTGTTTATCGAAGCGCGTAAATTGTTTACTCTTTCAGAAGTTTATGATTCATTGAAACCTACCAAGATATGCCATTAACTTTTCATCCTGACGATGTTGACGTAAGTGGAATCCGGCTCGCTCCACCAGTGCATCGCACAGCGAATGTACTCATATATTAGCATAATTTATGACGCAAACTCACAACTTCCACAGACATGACATGTTTGCATTACCGTACTGTACCTGTTAAGGTAAAAGTGGAGGTCAAAATATATAGAAGCCTTACAAGGTATTAAGCGATCTTTGATAATCGGTATAACTTTTTGTAACTAATCAAATATCGTAAGTAAGCCTTTGATTAAGTTTTTAGCTTTTACATAACAATTGAATATAGTTATGCGATGCTACTCTAATTTATTCCGAGTGACTGATTTTTACCGACTCTATTCATAAAATAGGTACATAGAATCAAATAATTATGCTTATTTCACGATCTTTGAGGACCAATATAACATGGTTTAAAAGCTAATATTATAAATACATATGCATATGCCCATTGTACTGTGCAGAATATCAGCTACGGTTGTGAGCAACAAGAGATGAAAAAAAAACCCATTAAATGAATCTAAATTCTCCGACGACCATGAAAATAGCTTCTTTTACGACATGGCAACACAAACGTTTTGTTTCAAACGCTTGTTCATAAAATGTAATGTGTTTTCAATAACAACATACTGTTCCGTAACTAAAGGCTGGTTATTTTAAATTTTTCTGGTGTAATAAAGATAACTTGTGGTGTCGATCCAGCAACAGCACCACCCCATCCCTTCCCGTGGGTGCTGTCACTAAGGAATTCACAGGAAAATGGGCAGCAATGTTCTTTGAGCATTATAACAGTGTACTGCGATTGTCGACAGAGATTGAAGAGATTGATAAGCCTGCGCTACTTCCAATCTTCACAATTCGACATTCTTCCTGTTCCTAGCGGCAAGCAGTCATGCGCTCCAGTTTAGAAAGCACGTCGATTTTTATTCAATACAATCAAGACTATAACTCATTGTCTCAAAGTGGGTGACGCCTATCAGATTGGTATGTGGTAGGACCTCTTGTGAGTCCGCACGGGTAGGTACCACCACCCCGCCTATTTCTGCCGTGAAGCAGTAATGGGTTTCGGTTTGAAGGGTGGAGTAGCCGTTGTAACTATACTGAGACCTTTAGAACTGATATCTCAAGGTGAGTTGCGCATTTACGTTTTAGATGTTTATGGGCTTCAGTAACCACTTAACACCAGGTGGGCTGTGAGCTCATCCACCCATCTGGGCAATAAAAAACAAGGAAGATGTCTATGGGATACCAGTATTCACTTAATACAAGATCGGTCACATGAGCTTTGCTTAGTCATCAATGCAGTAGAGAAAATACTTCATTAATAACGCATTTTATATCAAAAAGTTTTCATGAGATTCGAACAAAAAACATCCGTTGGATACGTTATTTATTCATGAGTAATGATGAACGTTTTAAAATTGAATCTCTTAATTCTACTAAACAAAGTGATTACTTTACATTAAAGATAACATATTTTCCTTTTCTTTCTTCGCACGTCTCCGGAACTACTAAGCAGATTTTATGAATGTAGTATTTTTTCGGAATTCTGCTGGTCGTAGTCATATAATTAAGACTGTTCTTATGGTTTACATGTGAACGTAGCTACGTAGCTTAGCACATGTAGCAGATATTAATAATATGAAACAGATTTTTTTTTCCTGGGTGGACGAGGTCACAGCCCACCTGGTGTTAAGTGGTTACTGGAGCCCATAGACATCTACGACGTAAATGCGCAACTCCCCTTGAGATATCAGTTCTAAGGACTCAAGTATAGTTACAACGGCTGCCCTACCCTTCAAACCGAAACGCATTACTGCTTCACGGCAGAAACAGGCAGGGTGCCTGTCCGCGCGGATCTTGCAAGAGGTCTTACCACCAGAATGTATGTTTTGTTTCTTTTAAACAAGTTATTAAAAAATACCTGGAATTTTATTTTCTGCTTCTAAGTTACATACCAAATTAAATATTATAAATACGAAAATAATTAATTTTATCAGTTACGTTTTCACGCCCAAACTACAAAATTCTAGTTTGAAGCTTAATACGCCGCTGGGCACGAACAATGAAGTTCGCGGGCAAAGCTGCGTAGGAAAGCTGTTTTTAAAACGAAATATTTAAGTTAGTACAAGAGCAAATATTTTTTTGTAAAAATAACGAGCTAACAACTCCATTAAAAACTAAACGCACAAAACAATACTGTTTCTATTTCAAAATATAATATATTTAAACGTCCAGAAAACAACGTTACGTAAACATTTAATTTTAAACTGGAGTAAACAGCTTGAAGTGATGTTAGATGTTCTACACAGGCAAATAAAACAATAATATGTTTAGAAAAATAAATAGATTCAGTTCTTTGGAATATCACATTGAGAGCCACTGATATTTTCTATCAACTGCCACTGAAGTTCAATGATTGACATGTTTAGATTACCGTCATGATCCTACTTATAAAAATATTTTCAAAAGATACGCCGTATTCATATCATATTATTTTAACTTTTCTATTTAGAAATGATTATGATATATTTTATGAAAATTTTAATCTGGACTAAGGCTTAAACATTTATTTTAAGCATTCATTAAATAATTTGCCTACAAAAGAGATCATAACGATTATTAACGCGTAAATATTGAATTAATCTTAACCTTGTACAATGTAAGCGCTCCTTATACTTCATTTACGGATGAATCGGCAAAGCCACTGTTGTAATAGCAATTTATTATTTTCCGTAATAGAACCAAAGCTATTATTGATGATTTTGCCATATCTTCTTGCAAATGTATTGTGTTTTTTTTTCTAAATCAGTCATACAAAAGAAATACGGCCCTGCGTAGTAAAAAAACAAATTGAAGAGTCTGATTAAGAAAATCATTAGAATCCTCCTCATCAGAATTCTAAGAAATATGTTTTGTTAAAAAAATACAAAAATATAGCTAAATAAACACGAACCATTTAATTATAATCTCTACCGATGTTGAACCAGGAAAATAGCTGTAAAAATGGATAAGGAAATTGACAGTATGAGATTTGTGTCAAGAGACATTAACCAAGGATATTGTAGGCGAGACAAGGACATCTTTTTATTACAGCTTTATATTACAAGATCTCGAAACAATTTACAAGTTGCGTACCCCTCTGTAGAGCTAGTTACTAGCTATTACCAATCCAAACTAATAGTTATACCATTTTTATTCCTAATTTAACTATCGAGTCCAAAGTATTTTGTTAGTAAAGAAGGTTGTTGTCGGTCAGTACATTACTAGCGGTAAATTATTAGTTCCTAGGCTTGGAAGACATAAAAACAACTACAGAATGTTAATGACACTTCGATTTCGCCCCTCCAGGATAGAATTTCTAACGCTATCACGAAAATTACAGCATTACGTAACAAGCACAGCTTAGTGAGACAAGAGAAAATGAAATATTGTGATATATAAACAGAACCCAAGTTCGTGAGCTACATCTAGCAAAGTCTCACATGTAATTTGTAAGTGACACATGTTTTGGAACTAAACCCTCGCCCTTTATCAGTGTAAGTTATCCGCAACATATAAGCTGTCCTTGAAATTCTTTTGACGATGCTACGCTTCTGTTAATTTATATTCTGTTTTTATATATTAAACAAGAATATAAAACGCTGGGTAAGTCTATAGCATTTTTGCATCTTATGTAATTACATCTTACTTCTTTTTTAATTATGTATTTTGCAAAATTGACATTTAAAAAGTATTTAGTTCAACTACATGTGCAAAGATGAAATTAGCTAATAGATTATTTTTTCAAGCCACCTAGATATGATCGAGGTGTAAAAAATATTTATTAATAGTCATTCTTCTTCTTCTTCTTCCAGTGCCTCTTCAATCCTGAAGGTTGGCCGTTAGCTTCCTGTATTCATTTCTGTCAGCAGCCAGCCGGAACAATAGTAATAAATTTTAAAATCTTCATATTTCTGCATGTACATACATATACAGTTTCACATACCTACATATTGTATAGGAATATGTTTTTAAAATATATTATATATAAAATTTAATATGTATTACCTTCTACGTCTCCATTTGCCTTTTATCTACATTACGCCATAAATGTGATAGCCATTTGTAGTATTTTATGCAATAATATAAATTAAATCCTTAATATTAAACCTTTAACATTTAAAACTCGTTAAATAAATAATAATAAAAATAAATAATTGGGGACAAATCCCAGACGATCATGCGGCCCCAATTTACGATTCCCTGTAATGCGTACCCCAGATACTAATATAGATAGTTATATACGTTTTTCAAACAAAGAGCAAATAAACCTGTTCATCACACGAACGCTTGCCCGATATGGGAATCGAAGCTACGACCCTCGGCGAAACAGTCAGAGGCGCTAACTATACTGCATTACTGAGTCAGAGAGATACACGATAAAAATAAATACGTCAGCATAACAGCGAAGAGAGTTACTCTGTTCGTTCATAAAAAAAAAAACCTGGTATGGGATGGAATTCTGTCTCTTATAAACAAATTTTTGTATGTGGTGATTATAATATCAATCTTTTAGAAAACACAAATACCACTATTAGATTCAGAACATTGTTAAAGTCATATAACCTCCCAAACTTATTTCTAGAGCCTACTAGGACAACAACCACATCGGCAACATGTTTAGATAACATATTTACAAATGTAACACCGATTAACAAAAAAATTATTAATCAATTAACATCAGACCATAGTGGACAATTTGTGTCTTTTGAATCTATTATGAATTCTAAAGATAAAAATACTCTTGTGATTGTTCCTATTAATAAAAAACGAATTGAGAAGTTTAGAAATAATATTAAGCAAGAACATTCNGTTACATAAGATACGAAATTCATTCGGGTGTTTGTCTGTGCGCCTGTACAACAAAATCCCACAAGATGTTCAGAACCTACATATACATAGGTTTAAGAAAACTATTAAAGAACATCTGTGCAATAAAGCTTACTATAAAGTCAATGATTATCTAGAAGATTGCACAAAGTGGGAATGAGTTGCTCGCTCCGGGAATTTCCATATTGTAAAATTGTTATGTTATAATTACTTATTGTAATATGAATATTTAAAAAAAATATATATTTAAAATAAAAATAAAAATC